ACACACACACACACACACACACACACACTTATATATATGTACACACACACACACACACAATGAAAAGATTCTCAATCTCCTAAATATCAAAATGAAAAACAATCAGGTGTCATTTACATCCACCAACCTGCAAAACTTTAAGTCTTACAATATCAGGAACACCTATATACCACTACTGAGAGTGTAAAGTGGTAAATCACTCTGGAAAACAGCCTGGAATTATCTAGCAAAGCCAAAAATACACATATGCTATAGCCAGCAATTCCCTTTCTATATTTAACTCCAGAAAAATTATGTGATAGGAGTCACCTACAATAATTTTCCATTTAAACAGAATTATCACATAGCAATAAAAGTGCCATACAAAGCCCAGGTCAACAAATTTCTGACATACCAGGAATTGGAGGAGAAAAGGATTATGTCTCATCTATGTGATTACTTTACCCTACCTAGTCAGAATGCTTCCCTCCACAATCCTTATTGAGGGGCCTGTTTTATTCCTAATTCCCACAGTAGTATTTTAAATATCTTTTGCCATCCAAGTCTCCATTCCTGAGTTATACTGAAATAGTTTGGGTAGTGAGAGATATACCCTATTACCAGAGCCTATGTGTTTCCAGAGTTTTCAGCATTAGTACAATAGCAAGGCAGAAGTTCATCTGCAATTCCATCTAAATGTATTCCACTCTTGAGTACAGAGCATGAGTGCAGTTAGTGAATCAGGAACTAATCTGCTCTTTCCTGATTTTGCTGAGCTGCTCCAGCTGGTATGTCCTTCCTAGTTGTGTTCAGCCTGGAGAAGGAAAGGCATGATCTTCCTCTGTAGCTAAATTCTACTAAAAATACAAGAATTAGGTGTGGTGGCAAGTGCCGGTAATCCCAGCTACTCGAGAGGCTGAGGCGGTAGAGTCGCTCAAACCCTGGAGGTGGAAGTTGCAGCGAGCTGAGGTTGCGCCACTGAACTCCAGCCTGGGAGACAGAGTGAGACTTTGTCTCAAAACAAAAATTTTAAAAAAAATCATAACATACAAGAAAGAAAGACTCACTGCAGTGTGAAAAAGCAGGGATGGTATTAGATGCTTCTCACCAGAGGCAATTTTGCTCCCCAGGAGTTATCTGACAATGTGTAGAGACATTTTGATTGTCGAGGACTTAGAGGTGTGGCTTCTAGTAGGTAGACCCCAGGAATGCTGCCAAACATTCTACAACTCACAGATCAGGCCCCTACAACGAAAAGTTATCTAGCCTAAAATGTCAATAATGCTGAGGATGAGAAATACTGTGCTAGATGGGACACAGGCCTCTGTGGGTGAGCATAGGAAAGCTCTACAGAGGATGCAGAGGAGGGCCCTTTTTCCTGACAACTTACATCTTGAGACGCTAAGGTCTGTATCTTAAGATCTCTAATTCTGAGAGTTGGAATGAAAAACCCAAATACACTGCTGGCAGAGGTGGTGGTGGTAAAGCGGCCTACATTTTCTTTTTGAGATGGAGTCTTACTCTGTCTCTCAGGCTGGAGGGCAGTGGCACAATCTCGGCTCACTGCAAGCTCTGCCTCCCAGGGTCAAGTGATTCTCCTGCCTCAGCCTCCTGAGTAGCTGGGACTATAGGAGTGCCATCACACCCGGTTAATTTTCGTATTTTTAGTAGAGACAGTGTTTCACTATGTTGGCCAGGTTGATTTCAAACTCCTGACTGCAGGTGATCTGCCCGCCTCAGCCTCACAAAGTCCTGGGATTACAGGCGTTGAGCCACCACGTATGGCCAGTAGCCTACATTTTCTGAAGAAAATATGACATGCACTATGATGCAATCCTCAAGTTGATGTATCCAAAAGAAGTAACAGATGTTGGCATGTATTATCTAGAAAGATACTCATTAGAAATTAACAATGGCAAAGAAAATCTGAATTAACTTCACCGTCCAACAATAGAGGTTTAGAAAAAGTATGGAATATCTATGATAGAATATTGTGCTAGTATTAAAACTGTGGTAGAAGAATATACTGAAGACATGGGGAAAAGTTCACAACATATTAAGAGAAGAGGATATAAAATAGAATCCAATGTTTTAAAAACATACTATGCACATTGGAATATAGTCCAAAAGGTAAACAATCATCCTCATGGAGAGGGCAGCTATGGGCAACGTTATCTCTCCTCCCCCCAAATACCTTACCTGTCCAATATCTCTGAAACTTGCCAGTGGAAATTAACTAATATAAGTTTAGCAACTGAATGAGATACCTAGAAAGAAAAAAGAAAAAAAAAATCAAATTATAACTGCATTTTCTTTTAAAGTATTTCACATTTTGAGAAGTGTATACATTAATGTCTATGCCAAGCCCAGGCTGGATTACCAAATTCCTCCTCTTGGTTCTCTGCTTTATCTTTTATCTTTTAAGTTCGCATTCTTTTTTTTTTTTTTTTTTTTTTTTTTAATTTCGAATTTCGCTTTTTTTTTTTTTTTTTTTTTTTTTTGAGACAGTCTTGCTCTGTCGCCAGGTACCAGGCTGGAGTGCAGTGGCGTGATCTAGGCTCACCGCAACTTCGACCTCCTGGGTTCAAGCAATTCTCCTGCCTCAGCATCCCGAGTAGCTGGGACTACAGGCGCATGCCACCATGCCCAGCTAATTTTTGTATTTTTTTTTTTTAGTAGAGACGGGGTTTCACCATGTTGGCCAGGATGGTCTCGATCTCTTGACCTAGTGTTCCGCCCACCTCAGCCTCCCAAAGTGCTGGGATTACAGGCGTAAGCCACCGTGCCCAGCCTAAATTCACATTCTTACAATATTGGTGATTTCATGGATCTCTCGATTTTCTATCTTTGTTTTCATTAATGAACCTTTCAAGAAAATTAATTTCATTTGAAACTTAAAGACACCCATTCTATAGTAAATAACCTAGCATCTATTAATAATATAAGCAAAAGAACTGCAGGTTCCTTCATGTCAGTCATATATGTTCCCTCAAGCTGCTGTATGAGGTTGTACACAGGAAGTACATCTCTAGTTAGGCCTATTACTTATAGAAAATCCCCAGGTCTGAGTTTACATAAACACACAAAAACACCAGAAAACAACAAAACATAAAAACCCAAAACTCAGTTTAAAATCTCTGAATTCCCAGCAGCCAATGAGTCCTAATTGCAAGGAAAATTTCAAAATTTGTGGGCAGCCTTTCTGGCCCCTATATGCTCTTAGGGACATTTAAAGCACATAGTTATAGCTACTAAAGAAACTCAGATGGTGCCTTGAGCTAGCAATTCTACTTCTGTAAGTCCCCCTGAGGAAATGACAGAGGATATGTGTACCACAGGATTACTTACAACGGTAAAAAATTAGAAATAAATGTCCGACAAAAATGAGTTAGATAAATAATATATGACGGATCTATGCAATGGACTACTATGTGGTGATTAAAAAAGATTTAGAAGTCTATTGACATAAAAAGACGTTCTTTTTTTTTTTTTGAGACAGTCTCTCTGTTGCCCAGGCTGTAGTGCAGTAGCACAACCTCGGCTCACTTCATCTCCCAGGTTCAGGCAATTCTCCTGCCTCAGCCTCCCATGTAGCTGGAATTACAGGCATGTGACACTACACCCAGCTAATGTTTGTATTTTTAGTAGAGAAAGGATTTCACATGTTGGCCAGGTTGGTCTTGAACTCCTGACCTCAAGTGATCTGCCCACCTCAGCCTCCCAAGGTACTGGGATTACAGAAAGCATGCTTTCTATTCTGACTTTTATGTCTCTTTATGCATGACCACCAAGTCCCAGCAAAGATACTAAGCCACTAGGAAACTCAGAGGAATTCTGACCATGTCCAAAGCACCTGGCCGCTTTTTTTTGGTTTTGTTTAAAATAAAGAGATGAGCTGTGCTATGCTGTCTAGGCTGGAATACAGTGGCTATTCAGAGCGGTGATCATAGCACCCTACAGCTTTGAACTCCTGGGCTCAAGTTATCCTTCTCGAGTAGCTGGCATTCCATGTGCACACCACTGCATCTGCCTTAGAAGTTCACATTTTAATGTTAGGTTAAAGAAGCAAATAAGCATCTACGTATTATAGTCACAATTGGGAAGTAAGCCAGTTACAAAACACCCTAAGTGTCAAGACTTGGGTAAGACCACAGAAGACTGGGATGTGTTTGGAGGCCTTAGATTAGGCTTCCAAGAGAGAGCACTACACACCATGAGGGTACTGCTAAAACAAGGAGAAACTAGTATTTAAGGTTAGAGTGCCAGGAAAACACAGAATGTTGGTTCTCTGCTCACTGGACTGAGTAGTTAAATAAGAGCTACCATGGACCTGTAAGGTAGTATGTGCCTGGTCCACAGATAAGAACTGCAGGGGAGGGAAGACACACAGTGAACACCACATGATCCCTCTTTCTAGCGTTCAAATCACTCCTGAAAGGAGACAAGTACACACCTACTAAACAAGGGCACATCCCAGCACATGAGTAGCAGAGGCTTTGGAATCAGTGAGTGCCTTCCTGTCCCACAGTCCAGGTACATCTGGAGAAAATCAAGGACTCAAGACAGCTTACTTCACTCAGGATGGGGGTCCCTATTTTCCTTCCATACAAAGTAAGTAGCCTCTGACCCGTGCATGTTGCCACAGTATTTTCCTGCAGAGGCCTATGCAGACTTTAGGCCTAGGTTTCCCAAATTATGGCTGATATTTCTTCTGTGTCCTTAACAAAGCTATTCGTCCCCAACAGACCACTATCACAAAATTAAAAGAGAGATAAGACATCTGCTGAATATAGCCTTTGGGTATGAATAGCTTTTTAAAAGAATTATTATTTTTGAGATGGGGTCTCACTGTTGCGCAGGCAAGAGTGCAGTGGCGTAATCTCAGCTCACTGCAACCTCTACTTCCTGGGATCGGGCGATACTCCTACCTCAGCCTCCTGAGTAGCTGGGACAGCAAGCCACCATGTACAGCTAATTTTTTTACATTTTGTAGAGAAATGGTTTCTCCATGTTGCCCTGTCTGGTCTTGAACCCCTAAGCTCAGGTGATCTGCCTGCCTTGATCTCCCAAAGTGCTGGGATTACAGATGTGAGCCACTGAGCTTGGCCTTATCTTTTTTTTTTTGAGATGGAATCTCACTCTGTCACCCAGGCTGGAGTGCAGTGGCGCTATCTTGACTCACTGCAAACTCTGCCTCCCAGCTTCAAGCAATTCTCTTCTTCAGCCTCCTGAGTAGCTGGGATTACAGGCACCTGCCACCATACCCGGCTAATTTTTGTATTTTTAGTAGAGACAGGGTTTCACCATCTTGGCTAGGCTAATCTTGAACTCCTGACCTCATGGTCCACCCACCTCAGCCTCCCAAAGTGCTGGGATTATAGGAATGAGCCCGTAGATAGCCTGGCGTTATCTATTTTTTTAAACAGAGATGAGGTCATACTGTGTTGCCTAGGCTGCAATGCAGGGCTGTTCACAGACACAATCCCACTACTGATCAGCATTGGAGTTTTCTGTTTTGTTTTTTAGAGACCGGGTCTCGTTTTGTTGCCCAGGTTGGAGTGCAGTGGAGTGCAGCTTACTGTATCCAAGAAATCCTGGGTTCAAGCAATACTCCCACCTCGGCCTCCCAAGATGCTAAGACTACAAGCCCACACCACCATTCTCAGCTAATTTTTTTTTTTTATATTGTTGTTGTTGCAGAGACAGGGTCTCGTTATGTTGTTCAGGCTGCTCTCAAACTTCTGGTCTCGAGTAATCCTCTTGTAGCACAGGAGTTTTGACCTGTTATTTCTAACCTAGGCCAGTTTACCTCACAAATAGTTTTAAAAAACATGAAGTGATAATGTTTTAGATGACCACCTCACTGGAACCTTTTCTTTCTTCTCATACCCAGCAGGGCCCAATCAGCCTTATGCCATGCTTTCTGTTCTGACTTCTCTATCTCATTATGCATAACCACCAAGTCCTAGCAAAGATACTAAGCCACCCAGGAAACTCACACGAATTCTGACCATGTCCAACAGCTGCCTCCTCTTTTCACTACAGATGGCTTGAGTGGGCCCTTTAAGCTAAGAACAGAGGTCAGGCTGATTCACAGATCCACAAAGCCGAGAAATGGACTGGACACAGGGGTAGCCACTCAACAAATGCTGATTATTAAATGATATGTCTTTAATCTGTGGATTTAAAATAAAATTTTGCTGTTTCATTAGAAAGGTCAAGAAAGTTTAACGCTGTCTGATCTCTTGATTTCAACAGCCCTACAGCCACAATGAAGCCTCAGAATTAACACACTAGGTAGAGCTCACCTAAAGATAACAACATAACCCTCTACTGAAGCCAAAAACTTCCTGATGACAAGTCTGCTAATGACCAACTCAGAATATCCCAGCAGAGCTGACTTCTGGTGAGAACAAATAATGTGAAGGGAGATATGCTTACTACTTATAAAAATGACAGTGGAGTGGTGTAAATCTGTACTTTTAATGCCAACAGTCAAGAGTACATCAATATATATAGGATAGGCCAGGCACGGTGGCTTGCGCCTATAATCCCAGCACTTTGGGAGGCCAAGGCGGGCAGATCACTTGAGGTCAGGAGTTTGAGACCAGCTAAGTTCTGGCCAACATGGTAAAACCCCATCTCTAATAAAAATATAAAAATTAGCCGAACATGGTGGCGGGTGCCTATAATACCAGCTACTCAGGAAATCAGGAGGCGGAGGAAAGAGAATCACTTGAACTGGGGAGGCAGAGGTTACACTGAGCCGAGATCATGCCACTG